GGGGTATGCTTTACTTTTAATCACATGTTGTTTTCCACTTCCGTTACTTTTTTTAGCAATAAATAATCCACTGCTGACTTGCTAGGCCTGTCACCTTTTCACCTGAGCCCCGTAACTTTTAGGGGTGACCAGGGTTCTCCTTCACGGCTAGCGTGACGCCTCAATGGCGTAAAGCCACACCGTACTTCGTTGAACTCAGCAATCCCCTACTTTGTCCAGTCTCCACCTCCCGGGTCAAAATTAGAAACTCAGTAATCAGAGAAATGGTGAGCACAAATGATGTCAGGAATCACATACAACACCAAAGAATCAAATTATGGTTCGGACATCTCAATCTCATGCGATTACCAACACACTATCCTGCTCAACGAGCCTACATTTTAAAAAAATTCAATGACAACAAGGCCAGAGGGCGACCGCGAAAACCCTGGATAGACGGAGTCAGGGAAACACTAGCAACCCATGGCATCCCCCTGACCCAAGCTCTCCGGCTGGTGGCAGAGAGACGTCTCTTTCTTCCCGCGACACCCAAAAGGGCATAAGCGGGGTATGAAAGTAAAAGTAAAAGTAAAGTTGTTTTCCATCGTTACCAGACGGCTTGTCGGTAGCCTTGCTGTTGCCCGTAATCGTCAGATTGCAGGTTCGGGGTGTGGAGCCTTAGTTCAGTGCTACGTTCAAGGAGGTAACTTTATTCAGTGCTTAAGGCCAATGGCCCACATCATATCAGTTAAAACACTCATTAAGTAATCGTGATATTGCCTGTTCGAGGCTTCGAGCCTCAGTTCAGTCCGACGTTGAATCCCTGGGAAAGGCACTTCACACGAATTACTTTTCTATTTGGCTCTTTTAGTTTTAGTTTTACGGTACTTGCAACACAATAAAGTCATATAAGTGCCGAAGATTAGAGGTGTTTCGTGAGGGTAACCAATCACAAAAAAGAAGGATGGGAGATAAAGACGATACATGTTTGATAGGAAAGAAGAAGCAAATCACACCAGAACATCCGTCAACCACCCATTTTGGCTCTTTTCTTTCGGGGGTAGTAGTTAAACTCTTAAATAATCTAATAGTGTTGTTAAACCTGTGCTGTTTGACATTTCCCAGACGGCTCGTCTATGCCCCGCGCGTGGCTGGTTTCCGAGAGAAGTATGTCCACAACGAGGTTTTGTTCGCGCTCATTGAGGACCTGATCCAAGAGCTGGGAGGGGACTCATGGCAGAATCTGCTTCAACTGCACATCCTGCAAGTAGGTTTGATGGGGATGTTGTTGGTGGTGGTGGTGGTAGCTGTTTGGTTTTTTGGGGGGCTGGTTTGTTGTTGCTGCTGCTGTTGTTGTTGTTGTTGTTGTTGTTGTTGGTTGTTTTTTTAATTGTGTTTTGCTTTTGTCGCAAATATTGTTTTTTATTGCTGTTTGTGAAGGCGGTGGTGGTGGTAGTGTTGTTATGATTATTTTTGCTGCTGCTGCTGCTGTTATTGTTGTTGTTGTTCTTGTTGTTGTTATTTTAGGAGGTATTTCATGGTGGTAGTGGTGGTGCTGCTGGTCTGGGTGGTATTATAGTGAAGTGGTTGGGGTTTCTTTTTGTTATTGCTGATTATTGTTTCTGGAGATGATGTTGTTGCTGTTGTTGTGGTAGTGGTGGTAATGATAATGATGTAACACACATTCTCTGTATTGACTTTGTTGCTGTAGTTCCTAATGCTACAGTTGTTATTGTTAATGCTGCTGCTGCTGCTGCTGCTGCTGCTGATGATTATGATGATGATGATGCTACACCATAATAAAGAAGAGGGAACCTTAACTTTTCTAGATATCTTAACACTATTTGATTTTCCTGCTTGTTTGATTGCGTTTCAGCCTCTCCGGATGGCTAGCACTAAGGTGATTGGCGATACAGACGATGTAGACCTTGCCAACCCAGCTGTCAGCGCAAATGGTGTGCCAGTCATCATCGATATAGATTCACACAGGTGCGAAACGATGGTGTCTGTCTGTCTGTCTGTCTGTCTGTCTGTCTGTCTGTCTGTCTGTCTGTCTGACTGTGTGTCTGTCTGACTGTGTGTCTGTCTCTCTGTCTGAATGTTTGTCTGTGTGTCTGTCTGTGTGTCTGTCTCTCTGTCTGAATGTTTGTCTGTTTGTCTGTCTATCTGTCTGTCTGCCTGTGTGTCTATCTGTCTGTCTGTCTGTACTGTAGGAGCACTCATCTCCCACATCCCTATTATTTTGTAATTATACCGTAGAGATCTTTTGCACTCACTTTATTGATTTTGTAATCATACCCTCATAAAAGTAGGCCCACCGACAACCCTCCTACTCCAAGAGTAAGAAGAATTACTACATTAATTCAAATATTCCCACAACTAAAAAAAGATTCCCTTATTGATTGATTAGTTGATTGATTGATTGATTGATGGATGGATTAATTGATGGATTGATGGATTGGTTTGATTTGATTTTATTATTTTTGGGGTGGTATGGGGGGGCTAAAAGAAAAGTCAGTGACAAACTTTTACTGCTAAGAAACTTTCCCACATCCAGTCAAAGTTACACAAATGTAGGGCCACCTTCACATATCAGCAAAAAAACAAAAACCCCTGATATTTTTAAAGTTCAAATCCGTCCCTTTTCGCCTCTTGTATGAGTGAGTTGTTAGAGCAGCAGTTGGTACCGTGGAGGACGGCAGTGTGGGCGACACTGGTTTGAATGCCCAAAAACTCGAAGACTCACGATTAGTAAGCGTTTTAAGGCACTTGCAACACAATTAGGTCATATAGATCTAAGTGCCGAAGATTAGAGGTGTTACAAGACAGTAACAAACATAAAAAAGAAGGAGGAGAGATAAAGACGATAATTGTTTGATAGGAAAGAAGGAGAAAACCACACCAGAGAACCCACCACCAACCACCCACAAAGATTCGCTATTAAATTTGGGTCTTCTAGTGTTTTATAGCACAAACCACCCATCTGGTTACTTCAGATCTGGAATAATGAGCCTCTGCTTTAACCCTATCCGTACTATCGTTTCCATACGACGTGGGGAACTTTGTGCCACCACTTTCCAAAGAGGAAATTTACTCGTTAATCCGATCCGTACGCTTTGCATAGCAGTCTGTCAAAATGATTTTTTGAGAAATACTGAAAGTTTCAAAGAGATCTTCGCACTAGAAGTATTCTAAAATGTGAAGAATACAACCTCGGGTGTACAAAATGACCTCTGGGCGTACGGATAGGGTTAAATAAAGGTTTTACGGCTCCTGCATCTCAAAATAGTTCCTGTAAATGCCGAAGAATAAAAAGGTGTTACCAAAGAGTCACATAGAGAGAATCAAAGGACGATAGATAAGGACGATAGATGAACTTCAAAACTTCATTGTCCGTGTCTTTTTTGCCCTCTCTCTGTGTTGAAAGCGTAACATTCTATACACACACACTGCATATCTGTTCTCTCCGTATCCATTCACTTATTATTCTGCTCCTCCTAAATGCATTTGTTTTAACGCCTTGACTGACCCCCCCCCCCACCCATCCCTCCACCCTCCACCCATCCCTCCGCCCATCGTTCCCCCCACCCCCACCAATCCAAACTAATCTTCACCCCTCCACCCATCCCACCCCACCCAAATAATAACAAACAAACGAACAAACAAACGACAAAACAACTTTCATTTACTAGTGGAGTGGCGTCGGTAGCCTAGTGGTTAGGCTACTAGACTCGTAATCGTGAGATTGCGAGTTTGGGAGTTCGAGCCTCAGCTCGGTCTGACGTTGTGTCCTTGGGAAAGACACTTTACACGAATTTCCCATTTGGCTTGGTCCTTTCGGAGATGGACGTTGAACTAGGAGGCCCCCGCCTCTTAAATAACGTAATAATGTTGATAGGGGCGTTAAACCCATACCATTTCACCATTTTCCCCGAACTAGTGGCCTGGAAGTCATCGCCCCTGCCGCGGGTCTGTGCACCTCTGCAGACGACATGAGCAAATGGTTCCGCTTCCTCCTGACGAGTGGAAGAGACTCACGCAATGAACAGCTGGTGAGAAAAGAGGCCCTGGAGTACACTTTCAAGCCCATACAGGTGTGTGACAGAGGATGAATATCAACCCTTTTCGTCTTTGTTCTTTTTGTTTAAGTAGGAGTTTTACTTGCAGCAGATTGATATGCCGGAATTCTTGCCGCAGGACCCTTCTATATACACATGTGAGGCAGCGTAGTGGAATCAGGCTCTCGTCAAAATAATCAAAGTGAAGAAACTTGCATTTTTCCGCAAGATTGTGAATTTTTATAAAATTTTGTTTTTCTGGATCGACACCTTTCATGTCCATTAAAGAACTCATTTCTGTGTGGAATTTCCTGAAAAACGTCGATTAAAGGCACAAAAAATGTAAATTTTCAGTTACCACGGACTCTTAAGCTAAGGAAATAACTAATCTTTGTCGGGCATTTTTTCCACAAATTTTACCTCCGAAAACAAGTGATCCCCACCTCCTTATTTCACAAATATCTCGACTTGTATTCAAGATAAATGGATATTTTTTTCCATCCAAATAAAGCCAAGTGAACAAGCTTTAAGA